AAAATGTGTGAGCTGGAGGCTAAAAAACTGTGAACTAGCTCACGCTAACTCAGCTTAGAGGGGACACTGATCTTCCCGCTTTACAGATGAAGAGGTTGACCCGGATACCCAAAGATGATCCACCTGGGTTGCAAACTTAAAAAAAAAAAGTTTCCTATCTGCTTTCCTTCAGAGTAACCCTGGAGTGCCTTGGTGGTCTCCCCTCCAAATACTAACCGAAGCCAGCCCTGCTTAGCTTCCAAGACCTGAACAAGATCAAGCTATCTTGATTAACCAGCTGTGCTACCCTGTAATACATAAGAACATCCATACAGTGCAGCAGTATTTTGCCTCTCTCCTCCATAGACATATAACACACGCATGCTACCACACATGCACTATCAGCCGTGTCTTTCTCTCTTACACACATGCAACAGTAAGCACAAATAAACCACAGCCTTTCCCATCCCTCTTATGATCTTCTGCAAGGCTGCTCAATCTGGTAACGGTCATTTTACTGTTGAGAGGAGACTCCATCATGGTAGGGTCCAGCAGACGTTTGCCATCTCTGCTCATTCACAAGTCTGACCTCGGAAACCCTGAGTGATCGGTATTGCACAATCTGCCAGTAGATGATTTTCCACTGAAACACCGGGTTTTGAAATTCTCATAACTTTAGAAATACGCAACAGATTTTTTTTACCGGACATGGGGAGGGGGAAGGCTCCTGGGATATTTTTTCGAATATTTAATGCAGTCTAAATTGAGCTCAGCAGTTCAAGACCCGGGTGCTGCAAGACAGAGTGAGCTCCCGTCCAGCTCCTGCCAACCTAGCAGTTCGAAAGCAAGAAATTGCAAGTAGATAAATAGGTACCGCTTTGGTGGGAAGGTAACAGCGTTCCGTGCGCTTTGGTGTTTAGTCATGCCGGCCACATGACCACGGAAACGTCTTCGGACAGCGCTGGCTCTTCGGCTTTGAAACGGAGATGAGCACCGCAACCCTAGAGTCGGATTCGACTGGCTTTCGAGCAAGGGAAACCTTTACCTTTACTAAATTGGCAGGAGGAGAAATGGAAGGAAAGATCCGGAAGAGCAGAAAAAATGGATGCAATGGCAACCCAGCAGTTCACAGCAAAATTTCTCAACTAATGCAGTCATTTTTCATTGGATTCCCCCCTCCCCCCCAAATGTGGCCAGGTTATATAATTTTGCAAGACCTCATTATATAAGGAATAGAAGTTCCATGCTGTGGTAATGGTAGACCAGTTTGGTGTAGTGGTTAAGTGTGCAGACTCTAATCTGGGAGAACCGGGTTTGATTCCCCACTCCTCCACTCGCAGCTGCTGGATGACCTTGGGCAAGCCATAGTTCTGGCACAGCTGCTCTTGAAAAAGAGCAGTTTCTATCAGAGCTCTCTCAGCCCCACCTACCTCACAGGCAGTCTGTTGTGGGAAGGGGGAGGGAAGGGAATTTATAAGCCGCTATGAGACTCCTTTGGGTAGTGAAGGGCAGGGTATAAATCCAATCTCCTCCTCCTCCTCCTCCTCCACTGGAAAAGTAAGGTACCTTAACTCTTACAACTTTTCTTTGCGGTTGTGTAATGCCGTCCCCTGACCTGGATGGCCCAGGCTAGCCTGGTCTTGTCAGATCTCAGAAGCTAAGCAGGGTCGGCCCTGGGTGAGTGCTTGGAGGGGAGACCACCCACCCAGGAGGTCCAGGGTTGCTATGCAGAGGCAGGCGAACCACCTCTGCTCATCTCTTGCCTCAAAAACCCCATAAGGGGTCACCATAAGTGGGCAATGCTCCCTCTAAGCTGTGGAGTCTTGTGAGCGAAAATTCTACTTTGTGAGCAACTGGCGTAAAAGTCGTGAGTGAGCAATTTCGCTACTGCATAAATGAGTTTGCTCTGGAGCCCTCCTTCCCGAGCTAAGATAAAAAAATGTGTGAGCCAGATGCTAAAAAGCTGTGAGCTTAGCTCACAATAACTCAGCTTAGAGGGAACACTGGCTGTGACTTGGTGGCACCTTCTACCCTGTAACACGATGGCATCTTCCACCCCAAGTATTTCAGATTCCATCCACTAGGAGGCATCATCAAGCCAGCGCTTGAATTGTAGAACTTAATTGGGGGGGGGGCGCCCTTTGGTTAAAAAAAATACTACTTGTGTGTGTGTTTGCATTAAAAATAGAAAACTGACTCATGCCAGGTCTTCCAGCTTATCACTGCCCTTGATGGAGGTTTGGGGAGATCAAAACGGATGTAGATTACCAGTTCTTGAACTTTATTTGTGTTTGGCCTTGGAGCTTCTCCTGGAATATTTGCAGCGGTAATAAACAGAGTATACGTGAACTTGTGTCGTCCCCCCCCCCCACTGAAGAGCTCCAGTCAGCCCTCATCAATCTAGAAGAACCTTCTAAACCGAGGCCACTGCTTAAAGCAGGCTTGGTCTGGTTTCGGTTCCAGAGGGGTGTAAACTGTCTTACGTCTGTCATAGCAGAACAGCAAAGGAGTCCAGTGGCACCTTAAAGAGTAACAGCATTTATTCCAGTGCAAACCATTATGAGTCAGAACTAACTTCCTCAAAGGCAGCGAAAGAAAGAAAACAACGTTTTGTCATTTTTAGCGCAGAACATTACTGAACGGGGTGTGGATTTGAGCAGAAAGAAGCCTGATCTCGTCCATCAGGTGTCCTCGCTCTGTATAGTACAGGCTTGAACGGTTCATGTTGTTGCTGTGCTTTTTTGGGGGGGGATTATTTTTTTTGGGTATTTTTGTTTATATGTGTGTGTGTGAGTGTGTGTGTGCACCTGGAAGTCACGGCGACCTCTGGTGACTGACCCCTACTGGGGGCCTGGAGGATATTCGGAGAGGTGTCTGAATGCAGCCTTTTTGTATTCCAAGGAGGTCTCCCTTCCAAGTACTAGCCAGAGCAGACCCTGCTCAGCTTCTGGGAGGTGATGAGATCAGGCTTGCCTGGGCTACTCAGGTCAGGGCGTGTTGTTGCTGTTCTTGATGGGTGATGAGAGAGGTCAGACATTCTAGCTTCAGGCGCTAAAGATAAAAACTCTAGTAAAGTAAGGCAAAGGCAGATTTCTCAAGGGAGAATTGTTCTGAATGGAAAGGATTATGCCGTGCTGCAATGGGTTTACAACAGTTGACTTAAGCTTCTAAAATTCACCTAAGTCACTTTTTGCATAAGTGTGTGTGTGTGTGTGTGTGGGTAGGGAATGGATCTGGTGCAGCCATAACTTCCACTTTCTCTTCCCCCTCGCTTTTAATGACGGAAGGATTTTCTCGGCAACGCTTTTGATGGGTAAACCTTCACACTTTTCTGAACACCTTTCTGGCCTGGAGAGGTCCATTCCCAGGACTCGGCACAGGAACATGCGCAATAGTAAATGCACTTGAGGGTCTGCAGCATTCTTCTTTACCCTTGTGAGCAGCCACGGGGCCTGTTCCCCATCAGGCAGAACTGCCCCCTGCTCTTTGGGCTGGAGGAGTACTTTGCACTGTGTAGTACAGCAAGCTTCAGTGCTGGACAGGATAGACGGTTGGGAAGTATAGGTACTCCTGCCCACTGTCAGGATTTCAGAGTTCATGCTTTCTTCTCTGAGTCTCCGGGGGGGGGGAGAATTTGGGGGCGAGGGGCCGTCAGAAGTAAGGAACAAGTCATTTTCTGCAGAACTCGAGTGGCTTCTGGCTTTTAGTTCCACCTCGAGGCCACTGGCCTGCCAGGCGGAGCCACACACTGCCAGTTTGGACCGAGAGGAAAACAAGTCATTTATAATTCCCGTTTTGGGGTGGGGAGACAGAGCAATGACTTCTTCCTGATAGTCCGTATTTTTGTGTTTCTAACTGGGAAGATGTAACACCCGAGCCCCATATTCACCCCACCCCTTCATTCCTTCCTCTCTCTCTCTCTCTCTCTCTCTCTCTCTCTCTCTCTCTCTCTCTCTTTTGGCAAGGCACGTGGAGAAGAAAGGCAGGAATAAAAATCAAAAATCAAATCAAATTTATTATTACGGCCAATTGACCAGCAGCGCAGTAAAATAGTGCAATCACAGACAGTCACAAACACTCACAGACAATAGTACAATTATAGTACAAGCCACAACCTCCTATTAAAACCGTAATTCTATTTCCCAAATTCTAAGTCTTGTCTAAAATTCTCCTCAGCCTGTGCTTTCTGTTAAAAACTTTTGCTTATTTATTACTAAAAAACAATATGTTGCTACTACCAGAGTTACCGACTTCTTGGTGTCTTCCAATAATATTTCAGCGGCATAGTATCTGCAGATTTCAAGTAATTGTCCAAGGGTTTAAATTGGGCAAGTAAAGGAAAAAGTAGCTGGTGTCTCTCTCTACCATAGAGTTTACAGTGTAAAAGAATGCGTGTGATTGTTTCAACTTCTTTATCTGCACATAAACAGCATCTTTGATGGATAAGTCAACGGAGATACCTTCCTTGCAGTAAGAAGGGAAGGCATCAAAACGCGCAGGAGTAAAAAAATAATGCGCTGTAGCTAAAGCAATCCAGATGCCTCTAAGTGTCTTCCCTTGTGCTCTGTCAGGGAAGTTATATTGGGAAGGCGCCATATAAATAAGAGCCAGTTTGGTGTAGTGGTTAAAAGCGCGGACTGTAATCTGGGAGAACCGGGTTTGATTCCCCAGTCCTCCACTTGCAGTTGCTGGATGACCTTGGGCAAGGCATAGTTTTGTCAGAGCTGTTCTCTCAAGGGCAGTCCTCGAAAGGGCTCTCTCAGCCCCACTACCTCACAATGTGTCTGTTATGGGGCAGGGAAGGGAAAGGAGATTGTAAGCCACTCTGAGACTCCTTTGGGTAGTGAAGGGTGGGGTATAAATCCAATCTCTTTCCTCCTTCTTAAATATGTCAGGTTTTACTCAAGTGGGATTCTCTTCCTCCGCTGAAAGCCGGGGTGTCTCTGGTGAAGGCACAGGCTGGGGATGTGCGTGCATGCAGACGGAATCCTTCTAACGAGCCTCTCTTTGTCTCTGGGCAGGTCCTGAGCCATGGCGGTGTGGATCCAAGCGCAGCAGCTGCAGGGAGATGCCCTGCGGCAGATGCAAGCCCTTTATGGACAGCACTTCCCCATTGAGGTCCGCCATTACCTTTCACAGTGGATCGAGAGCCAACCATGGTAGGTGAGCCTTGAGGTTTGGGTGTCCAAGGCTACCTTCAGTCTTGTCACAGGTTAGGGTGAGACGGAGGTCATACGGAGGGTAGTGAATGCTACTTCGTTCCGCGTCTCCCCCACTCCCAAGCTGCCTTTGTTTTCTAGGCAAGGTGTCTGCCTGCTTGCTGTACTTTCCAAGTTGTCCCTGATCTGACCCAGGTGTTTTGAGGGCTTGCTCGTAATCCTTTCAGTACCCACCTTGTTGCTACTGGAACTTCCTACAGTTGTGCCTTTTGGTTGCTGGAGACTATTATCAGTGCCTCCTTTAGTTCCTGGAATGTCAGTGCCAAGAGGCAGCATCACGGGAAGGCCTCGGCCTCTCTGCCCTGTTGTTGGCCGTCCAGAGAAACTGGTTGGCCACTGTGTGAGACAGGAGGCTGGGCTAGATGGACCACTGGTCTGATCCAGCAGGGCTCTTCTTATGTTCTTATCGAGGAAGGCCTCAGACTCCATGCCCTGCTGTTGGTCCTCCAGAGTAACTGGTTGGCCGCTGTGTAACATGTGATGCTGGACTAGATGGACCACTGGTTTGATCCAGTAGGGCTGTGCTTACATTCTTAAGCAACTTCCCTTTTTGTTTTTGGCAATGTTGGGATAGCATTCCTTCTTTGAGAATATTGTTTTCTCCTCTAGTCAGCATCTTGAGCTCTAAGGGCCCATGGAAAAGAGCCTCTACCTCTGAACTCTCCCAACAGCCAGCTGCCTCTTCCAATAAGAATCAAACGTTCGGATCATCTCCAAACGCCCCCTGTGTGAGAATACAGAGCATCACTGCCCCCAGACAGAGTGTTCCATCTATACCTTGGTGGCTAATAGCCACTGATGGACCTCTGCTCCAGATGTTTAACCAGTTCCCCCCTTGAAACTGTCCGTGCTTGTAGCCGCCACCGCTTCCTACGGCAGCAAATTCCACCTGTTAACTACTCTCTGGGTGAAGAAGTCCTTCCTTTTATTCCTCATTAATTTCATGGAGTTCTTGAAACATCCAGTGTGACATCTTTATGCAACCCCAGTTGCCCTCCCTGTCAGTGATAAAGGGTGAACTTCTGGTGCCCGCCTGTGAGTGGTTGCATTTGTCCCAGGGGGCTCCAGGGACTCTGACTGTTACTTGAAAGTCCGAGAGGCGGCAAAGCTTGCTGCCCCGCCTTCTCCTTTTGGGATAGGGGCACACAGACAGGCAGGAGTGGGAACTCACACATGCGCACTCGCTCTGTGCCCTCCACTGGCAGGGACTCCATCGACATGGACAATCCCCAGGAGGGTGCCAAAGCCACACAGCTGCTGGAGGGGCTGATCCAGGAGTTGCAGAAGAAGGCGGACCACCAGGTGGGCGAAGATGGCTTCCTTCTGAAGATCAAGCTGGGCCACTATGCCACGCAATTGCAGGTAGGTGGCGGCAGCGGGGAGGGGGCGAGGGGAGTGGAGATTTGGGGGACGGCGGACGGATGTCGTGCAGGTGGTTCTTCATGAGGGCTGCTGCTCCCCACTTCCCCTGTCCCGAAGCCGCGGGTCCTTCATTCTTCCTTTCTGTGCAGAACATGTACGAACGTTGCCCTATGGAGCTGGTACGCTGCATCCGACATATCCTCTACCACGAGCAGCGCCTGGTGCGAGAGGCCACAGATGTGAGTGTGGAGTATCCGTTGAGAAGGGGGGGTCTACATGACATTTTTTTCTACCTTCTATAAGACCCATGTGGGCCAGGAGGTGGCTACTGGGCAGTTATCTCTTGTGTGTCTCCCTCTGGTGTAGCGGTTAAGAGCAGCGGACTCTAATCCGGGAGAACCGGGTTTGATTCCCTGCTCCTCCACGTGCAGCTGCTGGTGTGACCTTGGGTCAGTCACTAGTTCTCTCAGAGCTGTTCTCTCACAAGCAGTCCTTGAAAGCTGTCTCAGCCCCACCTGACTCACACAGTGTCTGTTGTGGGGAGGGGAAGGGAAAGGAGATGGTAAGCCGTGTTCCCTCTAAGCTGAGTTAGTGTGAGCTAGGCTCACAGTTTTTTAGCCTGCGGCTCACACATTTTCGTCTTAGCTCAGGAAGGATGGCTCCAGTATGCGGTATGCATAAGCCAAATCGCCTGCTCACAACTTTAATGCCAATAGCTCACCAAGTAGCATTTTTGCTCGCAAGTCTCCACAGCTTAGAGGTAGCATTGATTGTAAGCCTTCTGGTAGTGAAGGGCAGGGTATAAATCCAATCTCCTCCTCCTCCTTCCTGCCCATTTCCTCAGAGCCCCTCCCAAGTTAGCAGTCCGGCCGACGCCCTCTCCCAGAAGCACCTGCAGATCAACCAGACCTTTGAGGAGCTGCGCTTGGTCACACAGGATACCGAGAACCAGCTGAAAAAGCTTCAGCAGACGCAGGAATTCTTCATTATCCAGTACCAAGAGAGCCTTCGCCTACAAGGTGCGTGTTGGGGTAGGAGGGGAGAGGTGCGGGGTAACAGTACGCAGCCTTCCTTCTCCCGCATTGTCCAACCCACCAGCTGAGATCCCCTTCTACAATCCTGGCTCTCTGTCCCTCCACCTGTTGAAGGGAGGCGGGTGGTGACCAGAAGCAGGGGGTTTTCCCCCCACGTCAGCATCTCTCCTGTAGTAGCCCTAGTAGCCCGGACTTGCTGGATCTCCTCGGAGCTCAGGAGCTAAGCGGGATTGGTACCCGGATGAAAGCCCACCGAGGAAGACCAGGGCCGCTGTGCCCAGGAAGATGATGGCCAACCACCTCTGCTTATCTCTTGCTTGGAAAACCCACATGAGACGGAACTTCATGGGGTCGCTCTTGGAGTGCTCTCCTCCTCCAAAGGGTCACCTGCACCTACTTTGTGTTCTTTTAGGTGCCAGGCCAAAATGTTTCTTATTTTACCCAGGCTTTTGACGAACGGGTTTCTCTTTGGTGGTTTCCATGGTCTGATCCTACCCTGAGGACGATCTTTTCAGTATCGTTTTAGACTGTTTTTATTTACGTTCCTTGACGGCTTTTATTTTAACTGGCTGGGATTGTTTTTATGGATCTGCTTTTATTTACTATTGGTGTCGTGGTTGAGTGTGCGGACTCTAATCTGGGAGAACCGGGTTTGATTCCCCACTCCTCCACTTGCACCTGGCTGCATGACCTTGGGCAAGCCATAGTTCTATCAGAGCTGTCCTGGAAAGAGCTCACGCAGCCCCACCTACCTCACAGGGTGTCTGTTGTGGGGAGGGGAAGGGAAAGGAGTTTGTAAGCCACTTTGAGACTCCGAGTGAAGGGCAGGGTATAAATCCAGTCTCCTCCTCCTCCTCCTCTTCTTCTTCTTTGTTTTATTGTCCTGAGGGGTTTTGTTTAATCGTCAACATTGTGAACTGGCCTCCAGAAGGTCTGGAGAGGGGGCAGGCGGATTTTCTGAACGTGCTCTGTCCTTTGTTACCCTGGTCTCTTCCAGGGTTCTGATGAGCCGCTGAAGGGTGGATAAGAAGGCATCTCCTTCTGACATAACTGGGTGTATCCCTGATCTGGATAGCCCAGGCTAGCCCGATCTCGTCAGATCTCGGAAGTAAAGTGGGGTCGCCCCTAGCTAGTATTTGAACGGGCGACCTCCAAGGAATACCGTGATGCAGAGTCAGGCGATGGCAAATCACCTCTGAAACGTCTCTTGCCATAACCCCCCCCCACAAGACTAGCTCGCCACCTAGTGGTGCATATTTCTAAAAGAGCTAGAACATCTGGCTGCCAGACAATCTTAGGATCTCCTGGCTGTGTTACACTCCCTGCCATATGATGATAATGATTTTTATTGGGTGTAAGAGGTGACTGAGGTGAAGCTTGATTCTTTCGCCTTCCCCCTCCCAGCCCAGTTTACTCAGCTCTCCCAGCTGAGCCCCCAGGAGCGCATGGCCCGTGAGCCCAATTTGCAGCAGAAGAAGGCATCGTTGGAGGCATGGTTGCACCGCGAGGCCCAGACACTACAGCAGTATCGCGTGGTGAGCACTGCTTTACCCAGCTCCTTGTTCCCTTTTCCTTCTCCCCATTTAGCCTTGTGCTGTGAGCTGAAAAAAGCACAGAGGGACAGGGCAACCGAGATGATTAGGAGGTTAGAGCACCTTCCCTATGAGGAAAGGCTGAACAGTCTGGGACTTTTCCATTTAGAAAAAAGACAACTGGGAGGGGGGGCGTGATAGAGATTTACAAAACTATGGATGGGGTGGAGAGAGTTGACCAAGAGAACTCCCCCCCCCATCCAAATACTAGAACTTGAGGGCATCCACTGACGCTGATGGGCAGTAGGTTCAGGATGGACTAAAAGAAATAGTACTTTACACAGAGGGTGATTAAAATGTGGAATTGCTGCCGGGGGATGTAGTGAGGGCCACAGGAGTAAACAAATTCAAAAGGGGATTAGAGAGATTCGTGGCGGATATGTTTATCGGTGGCCAGGAGCCACGGTGACTGAGGGGAACCTCCACATTCAAAGGCATTAAGCCTCTGAATCCAAGAGCCAGGTGAGGCAAGATCAGGGGAAGGCCTCGGCCTCTGTGCCCTGTTGTTGGCTGTCCAGAGGAACTGGTTGGCCACTGTGTGAGACAGGGGGCTGGACTGGACGGACCGCTGGTCTGATCCAGCAGGGCTCTTCTTATGTTCTTATTAGGGGAAGGCCTCAGCCTCTATGCCCTGTTGTTGGCTGTCCAGAGGAACTGGTTGGCCACTGTGTGAGACAGGGGGCTGGACTGGACGGACCGCTGGTCTGATCCAGCAGGGCTCTTCTTATGTTCTTATTAGGGGAAGGCCTCAGCCTCTATGCCCTGTTGTTGGCTGTCCAGAGGAACTGGTTGGCCACTGTGTGAGACAGGAGGCTGGACTAGATGGAACGCTGGTCTGATCAGCAAGGGTTTTCTTATGTTCTTATGCCCTTTCCCTCTGTCTCCCAATCTTGTCCTCCTCCTTCAGGAGCTGGCTGAAAAGCACCAACAGACCCTGGCCCTGCTCCGCAAACAGCAGACGATCATCCTGGATGACGAGCTGATCCAGTGGAAGAGGCGGCAGCAGCTAGCAGGGAATGGTGGGCCTCCCGAGGGCCCCTTAGATGGGCTGCAAGCCTGGTGGGTAGCCGTGGTGTTGGGGAGAGGGCACTGAGGGCAAAAGAGGGGATGGGGGTCTCCCAGCTTGCCCTGCATGCTTCGTGTTTGAACTGAGCCAAACAGTGGGTACTGTCAGGACCAGTGTTCCCTCTAAGCTGAGTTAGTGTGAGCTGGCTCACAGTTTTTTAGCCTCTGGCTCACACATTTTTGTCTCAGCTCGGGAAGGATGGCTCCAGAGCAAACTCATTTATGCAGTAGCCAAATCGCTTGCTGACAACTTTAATGCCAGTAGCTCGCAAAGTAGAATTTTTGGTCACAAGACTCCACAGCTTAGAGGCAGCAGTGGTAAAGATTTAACAACTTTTACTCCAGATTGGGCTTTTGTGAGCTGGAGCTCACTTGACCAACACGGCTGCCCTGCTGGAAATGTCTGAACCCAGCCGGATTCTGCCTTCTCGGGTGTTTCCCGTGGAGAACTGCAGGCCCTCGTCCCGAGCAGTCTGCATATAAGGCCACCGAGTTTTGTGCTTAGTATAACAACATCCGTCACTGTGTCATTTTCTGTCCCGCCATCCCAGTGCTAACTCAGGTTCAGGTTACATTGATTGTTGATTCAGCCGTTGGCCTTTACAGTATTGTCCATAAAAATAAACTGCAACCGCAATCAGGTAATCAAATAAAAACACAATTATAGTGGCATGCAGTTAATATATCAAGTAATTCGAAGGGATCCTCTTACTGTATCACGTTTCTTTTTATAGCATTATTGCAAGACAGCATTAATGTGCAGCTTGCTTAGTGTCCTGCCATAGCTGGAGGGCAGATGTGAGCGAGCGCAGTTGGTACCTAGGGGCGCTACCACATTGCAGCCTTTTTGCAGAATCCCTTTTCCTACTTTTCAGCAGACCTGGAAAAGGGCACAGGACTAAGAGAATTAAGATTTCCAGAAATGTTTACAGCATTGGGGGGGAGGGGGGGACCTAAATCTGTTTAGTTGCTGTAACAGAAAATACATCATGTATAACTGAGTTAGCCTATACAATTGTATTAATTAGCATATTTATGTAATTCAAAAAAGTAGATGCTTTATAGCAGGGGTGTCAAACATGCGGCCTGGGGGCTGGATCAGGCCCCTGGAGAGCTTCTATCAGGCCTGCAGTGGAACTGGCTGTCTCCTGCTTCTTCCAGTTTTGCTACTGCTGTATCATAGTGGCTTGCTTTGCCAGACTCTCTCAATCACTCAGGAGTGATAGATAGGCAAGCTTATGTTCCCTGAACTGGCTGAGGCTCCTCCCCCTCCCCCTTCCCTTTCCTCTTCCAGGGGGAGGGAGGGAACGAGCCAGAGCTTGCTTCCTGGCCAGACTGCCTCAGTCACACGGGAGAGAAAGGCAAGCCTTTCTTCCCTTCCATTGGCTGAGGCTCCTCCCCAAAGGGAGGGAGGGAAGGAGGGAGAGCTTGCTTTGCTTGGCTGCCTCAATCGCATGGGAGAAATACAAAGCCCATTGAAGTCAATGGGCTTAGACAGGTGTAATACTGCTTAGGATGGCTGTGTTAATTTTATATGAGCAATGTTGTGAATACACCAAGTACTAAAAAGAGAGAGAGAGAGAGAGAGAGAGAGAGAGAGAGAGAGAGAGAGAGAGAGAGAAGCCAGACGCTGCACCATAGACGATCTTAGCACATTTCATTCCTTTCAAACGAAGGGGAGTATATAATAAGAGGTTTTTTCCAGAGCTCCCCAAAATTTATTTTCTATTTCTCATTCCCAGAGAACAGTTCCTGGTACATCCTTATTCATAAATAAGTTTCTTTCTGCAGAGATCCTCCCCATATCTTACCTCTGTTTTCAGCCTGATTACTCCCTCTTTTCTCCCAGATGGCTGATTCCCTTGCCAGCAATGCTCCCTCTAAGCTGTGGAGTCTTGTGAGCAAAAATCCTACTTTGTGAGCTACTGGCATTAAAGTTCTGAGTGAGCGATTTGGCTACTGCATAAATTAGTTTGCTCCGGAGCCATCCTTCCTGCGCTAAGACAAAAATTTGTGAGCTGGAGGCTAAAAACCTGTGTGCTAGTTCACACTAACTCAGCTTAGAGGGAACACTGCTTGGCACTCATTGATAAACAGGCTGAAATACTGATTTTTCGCTCTGTAGCCAGCCAGGGTCATTGCTCGTACTCTCTTCTATTTTCCCACTTTTCTCCCCGAGGACATCAGGGCCCTGTGGAGTTTATTACAATTCCACAGGGCCTGCAAGATTGAGCTCTTCCACCAGGCATTCAAGGGAGAAGCCACATAGAACATCTTAATTTAAAATCAGAGCCTTACCCTGGAATTCTACCATCGGCTTATTGTTATTACTGACTGACACCTGTTATGGATAATACCCAGAAATTTGTTTGTTCGCCATCTGACATGCAATAACTATGCATAGCACTGCAGAATTGTTGTATGATTTCATCCTGTTTTTAAAGATTTTATGTAAGCCGGCCGGAGCCTGCCTAGGCGGGGAGGGTGGGGAATAAATCAAACAAGGTAAAGGTTTCCCTTGCTCGAAAGCCAGTCGAATCCGACTCTAGAGTTGCGGTGCTCATCTCCGTTTCCAAGCCGAAGAGCCAGCACTGTCCGAAGACATTTCTGTGGTCATGTGGCCGGCATGACTAAACGCCGAGGCGCATGGAACGCTGTTATCTTCCCACCGAAGTGGTACCTATTTATCTACTGCAAACAAATAAACATTCAGCCCCATCTCCATTTTATAATTATAAAATAACGATTCTAATTTCCTTGTTAATGTTAATAGCTTTGGGCTGACTACAAAGTGCAAAACCCATCCTTAAGTGCCTTCTGTCCCCAAGAAACCAAGAGCAGGTGATTTACATTAGATTTATGAATGCCCCAAAGAGCCAGAAGTAGTTAATTGAGGCGATAAAGGGGGATGGGAGCCCAACGAAACCTCCGTAGCGTTTTGAGTGGTTGCATGGGACAGCCTGATGCCACAGTTTTGTTTTCTTTCGTTTAAAAAATTGAAACGACGGAAGCACGACACAGAAGATACCGCAATGTATCTAACAGCAGTATCATTTGGCTTGTCCATGAGTTAATTGTGGCAATTCCACACTAAAAAAAGCTTAAATCCGGACAAGATTGCAGCAGTGATGATTTTTGGAGGCAAGGGATTTTAAGATAAGAAATAAACCCCACTGCTTTGGGGATTTGCATTGCAGGAGCAGCCAGAAGCAGTTATCCACACTGTTGTGTTTTCAGTGCCCCATAAGTCAACTGTGGATTGACTGTTCTTTCCACCACCACCGTGCATGTGTATACTTTATCCAAAGCAAGGATGTGGTCAGGATGTTTTGGCAGCCACCTGAGCATACCTGGGAGATGCCTTCTGGACTGGACATCTTTCCCCGTAGCCTCCTGACTGTTCCTGTTGGCCGCAGAGGATAGGACTCACGATAATGGGTTTAAGTTAAGGGTGGGAAAGTACCAGCTGGATATTAGGAGAAACTTTTTTACAGTAAGAGTTGTGCAACGGTGGAATCAGCTGCCTAGGGAGGTAGTGAGCTCCCCCTCCCTGGCAGTCTTTCAGCAGTAGCTGGACAAACACTTGTCAGGGATGCTCTAGGCTAGGGCGATCCTGCATTGAGCAGGGGGTTGGACCAGATGGCCTACATGGTCCAACTCTGTGATTCTATGATTCTTCTCTCCCCAGGTGTGAGAAGCTGGCGGAGATCATCTGCCAGAACCGGCAGCAAGTGCGTCGTGCCGAACACCTGTGCCAACAGCTGCCCATCCCTGGGCCTATTGAGGAGATGCTGGCAGAACTCAACAGCACCATCACTGACATCATTTCTGCCCTGGTCACTAGGTAACCGTCTGGGGGCGGGGCACTTGCCAGATTAGCTTTTCTGGGAAGAGACTGAGGACAGGCATCCTGTCGTTTGCTCAGGTCCAGCAGACTTTGTAGACCGTCCCACCTGTTCACGAACAGAAAGACACGTTTATCGAAATGTATTGGAGAACAGATACCACATCAGTAGCATACAGCTCTGGCTGTAAGCATGTAATCTCACGCTTACAGTTCGCACTTACAAACCTGGACGGGCCAGGTATTTTGACAAAACAAAAAAATCTAGTGGCACCTTAGAGAGTGACAGCTTGTATTTCAGTAGGAGCGGCTGTGGATCTCAGCCAACTTGGTCAGACAGACAGGTGATGGAAAATCGTACTGGGGGATTTTTTATGGGGCCGGTTGGAGAAGGGGACTCGAGGCTTGGTGTGAATAAAACGATGCGCTTTTCAAGTGTAAATCTCGAATTGACCGGGGGGGGGGGGGAGGGGTTTCAGAAGGGGCAG